CCCCCAACTCCCCCAACCCATTGGGTTGGTCGAAACAATCCGATGCGCAAGTCACGGCTAGTATGACGTTGCCCGCACCCCACACCTTCTTAACCATGGTGTCGAATGCGCCAAGGAGACCTCCAGCAAGGCAAGAGTCAGTGGTCGTCCATCAGGGGAATCGGGTGCAAGATGTGCAAAAACAAGTAGTCGCGGAGTAGGTTGGATTTCAGAATCACGATGATTCAGGAGTCAATTGACCTCAGAAGTAGGTGGATGAGAAATTGAAAAATAGGGGTAGGGGGTCCTCAGGAGAGACCACGTCATTCAGCTCACCAGGGAGGAGCTGGACTAGAGTTTGGCCTAGGAGGTGGCCCAAGCTCGGGAGCCTGGCTTAAAAAACCCAGTAGTCCCATAGCAACAACCATAGAGAAGGGTCGAGAAGGTGGAAGTGAGGTCAATATCACTATTCAATATAGTATCAAGACCAGCCACAGACGCTACACTCGAGAAGTTGGAAGCCCAAATGATGCAGCTACAGGCATGTGGAGAGGGCAGGGTAGCACCTCAAATTCAAGGCCACCCATTTTTGGAGGAGGTTCTTGAGGCCGATTTACCACACAATTTTCGAAAGCTAAGCATGTCTTACGACGACTCAACCGATCCATTCAGTCATCTCAGGTCTTCAGAGAACATAGTGGTCCTGCATCGTTATAGTGATGCAGTGTGTTGCAGGGCATTCTTGACTACATTGAAGGGGTCGGTACAGATTGGTTCTATTAGTTACCGATCAGGTCAATGTACAATTTTGAAAGGATGAGCTCTCAACTTATCAACTAATTCTCTAGTGCAAGAAAGCATGAAAAAACCTACCTAACCTTGATCAACATGCAACAAAAGGAAGAGGAGACTCTCCAAGAATACGTAGCTTGATATGCCAGGGAGGGTGTGGAGGTCCCCTAAGCCTTCGATGAGATTAGGGCAGGAGGCCTTACCAGGGGTCTCCGGCCTGGTCTATGCAGGAACCCATTGGCAGAGGCCAACGAGATCTTTTTTGACAAGATGTTGTTGAGGTGCAATAAGTACATTAACATGGAGGAAGCAGAGACACATTTTTTGCAGTGACAAGACCAAGGTCAAGAAAGCTGGAATTCTAAACTGTATTTTGTAATATTCATACAATTAATTTATAAACATTGTCATAATTTCATTTTTTGTGCACTGCTCTAAATACTAGTTGAAGTAAGAGTCTTGATTTGTATAACAATTTTTCCTTCTAATAATTATAACATATAAAAAGAATCTCAAAGACTAAAGCGATCTCAATTCTAAATGGAGTATGATATTACAGACCATTTTACATGTTATTTATTGGAGAAAATCTATTGTATGCGCTTGACTTTTTGTTATTGTATCTCAATAAGGCATGAATTTTCAAATCTTTTATTTGAGGGTCTCACTTTTAAGTTATTCTCAATACAAGGCTCACTTTTACATTATACTTTTCAATTTAAGACTTCAATTCACTTTAATTTGTATTTTGATATAATATGTAAACCACATTACTCTCACTTTTATTATACGCATTAATATTATATATCCTTAATTTTTCCAAAAATATAAACTTTATTTACACATAATATTTTCTATAAGTTTATTTAAAAAAATAAAATTAGTTTTTTTTAATAGTTTATAATTTGATGTTATCACATATTTTGATTAAAACTTAAGTTAAAATTTATTTTTTAACTTTTAAAATAAATTTCATTAAACTTTTGCATAGATGTAAAATATGAAATAAATATCTTATTAGGTAATTTTACTAAAGATATGAAAAAAAAAAAAGAGAAAAGAGAAAAAAATTACTAGAAAAATTTAATATTTTTCATTATAAGTATTTAGATAATAATTTTTTTTTAAAAAAAAAAACATTGTGATTTACATAATTACATCAAAATACAAAGTGATTAAGAGTTTTAAATTGAAAAATAAAATGTAGAAGTAAACTTTATACTGAGAATAACTTAAAACTGAAACTCTCCGATGAAAAAGTAGAAAATTCAAACTTTATTGTGACACGATAACAAAAAGTAGAGTCTTACAATAGAATTTTCCCATTATTTATTTGTTCTCATCGTAATGCATAGTCTAACAAAAAGTTGTGCATGACAGGTATAAATATGCAGGCGAAAACCAATTTTGCATAAAAATCAATGGAAAAACATATACATATCAATTTGTTCTTTCTGCGATTTAAAGATACAACAATGAATCTCCATCCGCACTTGGACAAAAATATAATAAAGAAAGAACTTACAAATTCAATTATGTGAACCAAATATTTGAAAAATAGTTCTGCTATAACATAAAGGTTCATGATTAAAGATTCAAGTACTTAAAACACAATAGAGTCCAAGTGCACATTTAATCTGAACAAATCTAATTTGTGTACAAAATATTGCTATATAAGTTTTCAAATCTCTGTAGTTGAGGCCAAGGTTATAGAAATCAAATATTAACTGGTGATCGCATAGATGAAACCCGCGCGCCCAATGACGATAAAAATATGTTCACAATATGCATATATGTTCACCATGACATAAAACTCGCAAGTACTAAACCACAAAATCCAACCATGACACCACACTTTCAAAATGTAGAATAATCAGTAACCACACGGCGCTCATATGTGAAATTATAGGAAGTTACAGATGAATATATCTGCTTTATTATGAAACGGAGAAAATGAGGGCCACGGTCAACGACAAAGACAAGCAACAACGCCACCAAGTCTACTCAAGCAGAAAGGCCAATGATTCCTGCACAACATTTAAACCTCAAGTAAAATACATGTATTACTTTGCTGTATATTAATTGTAGTTGTATACGAAACAGCAGCAAAATGTGATGTACAATTTAAAAATTATACGAAGAATTGGTGATTTAGTTTTAAATTTTTGGCACTCTTTGAAAACCTCTGTCCACCTTCGGACATTTTCATGTTTATGATAATGGCAGCATAATAGTAATTGCCAACCAAAATTGCAGGAAGCATGGGCAAAATGATCATCCAGAAATTTAAGCAGTAGTTAATGTCAATAACTGACTGATAATAGTACCTTGGGAAATTTACACAGTCGTTAAATAACCATCCATCGTATGTTCGTGATCAATCATATTCTGATAAAAGAAATCAAAAGGAATAAATAAATGTCTCACCACAAGCAATTCTTCCACCAGCATTTCCAGTGCTTTTGCTCAGCTCATGTCCACCTGAGAAAACAGGCAGATTTTTTATACATTTGAATATAAAAAGGAATCAATCATATTTGAACTCAAGCAACTAACATCGGATGGACTATCATTTAAATGCAAAGTAAATAACATATCATGTTGTCTCGTTCTACCTTCTTGAGGCCAAGTTGAACCCAATCGGAGGACACTCGAACAAACTAGAAAAGAACGTAAAAATAGAAAAGTATTCCAGAATTTCATACACCACCCTTCTACAGTCCCATTCAACTATCTCAATTGTTTCTTATGCAAAATACTTGCCACTGGAATATTAGGTTGACAGTTAAAGTAGCTCTAATCGTTCTTTGCTAATGTTGGTGAAAGAAACCCAATAGCCATCACCAACAAATCTAGTGACGAGTGGGGCCAATTTCAGACTCATACTTAACAATTTAAGTAGATCAGTTAATGATCAAAACTATTAGTGGAAGACTCACTCACCCTTTCCAAGATCATCAGGGTCAGCATGAACAACTACAGCCCTCCCAATGATAGAATTCGGCCCCGTAAGTGGTATCTGAAGAAGATGGAGGAAAGAATTACGAGTTAAAGGTTACTATCTAAATTCACAACCAAATCAGATATTTGATGTGAGATTGTAGAGTAGGATAAACCTGTGAATCGGCAATCTTGACATCAGCTACGCCTGAAGAATGTACAGAGGAGAATTCAAGTCAGTTGAAAACTAATAATCGTAATGTCGGGCAATTATGTCATGCAACCCCTTTAGAATAACTATACACGACCAAGCATTGATCAAACATTGGTTTTACTGCTAAAGCAGAACACAAAATTCTCCTCCGTGAGAACACTTGTTTCCCCAACCATAATATTCACAAAACTAATGTTAGTTGAAAAAGGCATTAATTAAGTATCCAATGCAACATCACAGCTAGAAATTATGGTGAATATTTGAAACGGTTAACCTAAGACCTCGATTTGTGAGTTAACAAATACAATAAAATAAAAAATCCATGCGTGACAATGAACATAGTATGCTTAACTCCTTTTGGTCATAACAAAATATAAATACCATCATGTCCAGCATGGATATTCCCAAGGTCCCCAGCATGGCGAATCTCATCTTCTGGAGCACCATGCTCGACATTAGCAGGATTGAAATGAGGTCCTATGCATTGGCATTAATAAACAAAAAACATCAAATTAACAGATTGAACAACATATTTGTAAAGACAATACCACCAAAAAAAGACAGAGGTATTATGAATTTGGGATAAGTACCAGTTGATAGACAACCATTGGTCGTGTCACCAAGGGCATGCACGTGAAAGCCATGAAGTCCGGGCTTAAGGCCCGAGATCTTAGCAGTCACATTTGTTTTACCTGAAGAATACCACACACAAAGGGAAAACCGTAATCATCCACTAGAACTTGAAAAGATAATTTGATAGAACTAGTGATTTGGTATCAATTCACAAGTACCATTTGCTTCTTGGGTGAAGGTGATGGTGCCAGCAACACCCTCACTGCTGTGGAGAACTGCAACTGCCTTCACCATGTTTAAAGTGTGATCTACAGGATGTACAATTAAAAATAATATCAACATTGTAATACAAGCAAAGATAACATCCCAAAAGCAAGAAGTAGTTGAAAATGGATGAGAAATAAAAAGAAACTGCCTTTGTCACTAATAAACAAAACCATTTCCCAAAACATGAAAGATGCTACGGTCCCGTTGCGGGACCATTCCGTCAGAATTTGTAACCATTAGAATCAACTATCTCCGACGGTTACTGGATGATCTAACGGTTACAAACCCGACGGAATGGTTCCGTAACAAAAACAAAAATCAGTATTATTCTTAAGAAACAACTAAAAATTAGAGCCATAACAACAACAAACTGAAAGCACCTCGTTGAACAAGTCAGTTTTCGCTACATATACCGTAAACCTCTGAAAAACATCAAAAGTCAACAAGCAAAAAACAGATAGCGTTACACTGAGACCAAATCGATCTACGAGAGAAGTGTCAGATGTAGAGATATTAGGAATCAGACAATCGCTGGAAACGAAAACTCAGATGAATGAAAACCAAAAAAAAAACTAAGGCAACTTAGTATAACACTTGAATCCTGCATAATCCCCACCAAATCTGAATCAATTGCTACAGGACTACAGAAAACTCAGATGAATGAAAAAAAAAAAAAAAAAAA